TATATATATATATATATTTGATAGTAAGTGTAAACCAGGGGTTTTAAAATACAGTCATCAAACCCTCATCCAGACTCTTAACCAATCCACAGACCCTCAATGATTTTCTTGGTGAAACTTCATAACAACATTCATAGTAAAAAAAATTATTTATTTGTGTAGCATCTTCAAAAAGGGCAACTTAAAGTGTTTTATAATAAACAATACAGGTCCCAAGTGCAAAGCAAATAAAAATTGCCATAATTAATAGAACATAAGGTTAAAGGTGAATCCACTGTGAGTTAAAAGTTAGAAATGTAATTAAATAGACCTTGAATTATGTTTATGTAGGCCTATCATCCTAAATACATTTTTCTATTTAAACCCTCTCCACTTCACTGAACCCTGGATGTAAAGAAAATAAATGAACAACTTCATAATATATTGTTCTGCTATTATGGGTTCGTGTGTTGAACAGCTGTGCATATACTTTGTAATTTCACACCACCTGTTACACATTTTTGCACATCAACATGATTCTTGTATAATGTTGTTTTACAATATCAACATGCTATTTCTTTCTTGCATTAAGAGTAGTTTTAGAAAGACAATACAATTAAATAATATTATATGGCATTCTTCGTATCAGGCAATAAAATCAGATTAAAGCGAAGCTTCTAGACGTAATGTTGTATAATAGTGCCACCTGCTGCTGTAGTATAGAATTGCACTCTACAAAGAGTAGGGTAACTTGCGAAGGTGCCCCCAGTGTAAACAGTGTACATTTACTTTTAGGTAATAACATATTTAGATGTAAGTTTGGCATGTGCAGGATGATGATGCACCAGCCAACGTGTTAATAAGGGAATGGAAATGGAATCATTTTACATTTTGCGTTTTGACAACTACATTAGCAAATGTATCTAAGAGGCCATTTACCTCACTGCTGGCAAGAAGTGTTCGACAGTTTAGTTTGTCAGAACTAACTGACATGGCAGAATCCAAGGAAAATAGATAAATCTGAAAGGTAAATTTACTGTATGATATAATATAGGTATATGAATCTATAAATATTTAATTGGCCATATTTTAATAGATATGTCATAATAGCAACACTATAAATTCAAATTGAATGATTTCCTATATAGATTAAATGTACATCTAACTCATGGAATTATTGAATAATAACTCCATAAATGACAATAAATATTACATTAAAAAACATCCCGCTCTGTGCCAATTCTAGAGGGGCCATCTGACCCCAAGAGTCTAATTTTACTTTTTCACTTAAAAATATCGCTTTTTAAGTGAATATATGTATAAAATATTAAAATAAAATAATAATTAAAATATATTTAATTAAAAAATAAGTATCGCTTTTTATTCCTCTTCTTTCCTATACTTGTTTTGCTTCTGTTTCAGTTTTTATAACCGTTTCTTACTATGTGTCAGTAAGTTGTTGTTTTTTAGCATATGTGTTTGTCAGTGTAATTTTTTAGGATTACTGATAAACTACTGTCATTTGATTTGTATTATTTGTATTTGTTATTTATTAAAATTTTAGTTACATTATGTCTGAATTTATTATGTCTTTTATTAAGTTTTTAGTTTTATTTAATTTGAGTTATTTTAATACTTCAACAAACTAAATGGAAATGAAATAATATATATATATTGAATTTATAAAGGTGTATGTACATATAGAGTATATATATGTATGTGTGTGTGGGTTGTACATACACATATGTAGTTGTTTTTTGTGTGTTTGGCTTAGTGTTATGTTAGAATCATTATTATACTCTTAGACGAGTCTGCTTACAGACAGGAGGTTAAACAGCTGGCTGTCTGGTGCAGCCTTAACAACCTGGAGCTTAACATGCTCAAAACTGTGGAGATGATCGTGGACTTCAGGAGAAA